CTTATGTTCTGCAGTGTTCAAGATTTGCATTGATAAATGTTGTAGCTTGTACTGCTTAGCTTTGGGCATTTCATGCTAGATGTACTCATGTGGAAAACTGAAATGGTTTGGGACACTAGCAGAAATAATAATATATAGCTCATATACAAGAAATCGCAGAACCCTGCTTTATTTGGAACAGCCTTGTTATTTCGTTTGGAAACGTTACACTTCATACTAAATTGTATTCATACCCCACGTGCATCATACAACTAGAAACAAATTTTAAGTTATTCCAACAAGAGCTCTAAATACTTTGTTCAGCAGTTACAACACAAGACGGTCAGACCCTCGCCGGAAAGTTATTGTTGCCTTCTGCAATTTATGAGTTCAAAACACAGTATGGCCTCCATGGTAATTCCAGCCTTGAAGTGTTACTCGTGGTGTTACACCCGGAGGGACCTCGAAAGAGATCTTAATTGGCATCACCTCACCTGGAACTAGAGAAAAAAAGTTGTCTGAATAATGAACAGGGAGAATTCTTGTGTCTTCTCCTTCTTTATGGTCTTTCTTTGAAGCATGAACAGAAAAATGAAGGAAGAAGGCAACTCCTTCATCAGCTCCATCTGTTTCTATGGCCTTCCAACCATCAGTTCTCCTTGAAAAGTGTTTGTACAGTCTCTTAAATAAACCAGCTTCCTCTTTTTCACCAGTTTCACTGTGTTCAGGTTCAACTGAAGCCACATCAAAATCACCTTCACAGTGTGATCTGGTTGTGAAATTGTTCTCGTAGATTAAACTTTTGGAATCCGGTTTCTTGGACTTGTTCTGCACATGCATCTCAATTTCATACGAAGAGCCCATGACAAAAGTTTTAGATGTTATCTTGAGGGGTATTTTTTTCATCCTGTATGGTTCCAACAATTTGTAATCTCCACCAGACAGATGCAACCAGTAAAAGTTCCGGGATATAATGCCATAATCTGACATATTGTAAAGTTTGAGGAGGAGAAAATAGACTGGCTTTGGATTGCCGGCCTTTGGATACCCCATTTCCTCAATGCGAATGACCTTCTTGGGTGGCAGAGAAAGCTTGTCATAAACTTTGTAAAATGGACACGTCCCTTCCAGATCCCAAACCGAGGCTTCTATTGCTACATTAGTCAGTTCCTCTGACATGGTATTAACAGCCTGTAATGGTAGGGGAGAAAAACATATCTTACATTAAGCCTTGATTATGAATAACGAGAAGAAAAAGGGTAAAGTATAATGGGTTGTACACTATAAGAAAAAAAGATGAGTGTATTATCAGTCTTCAAATCCGACTTTACCCAGGGCCTGGCATTCACCTCCAACCCAAATGACAACGAAGTTAGAGACAGGAGAGGGAAGGAGAAGAAGTAAGGTATGAAAGAAATTTATTACCATACTCCAGAAAAAGGTCGAAATTGAACACCCATTCAAACTTATCTAGTAATCATTATTATACCAGCCCTTACCTCTATAAAGTAAGTAGCAAGATTCAGTTGGACATGAATTGGTTCTGCAGCACTGCGGCAACCATAGAAACCTGCTGTCTGGTCCAGAAGATGATCATAAAATTGACCCCTAAGACCCGTCCAAGGATTCTGATTCTTCCAAATCAGAACACCAGTGTATTTGCTCCACATTCGGGAAGTCCAACCCTCCAAGAGAGCTCTATACTGAATATAGTTAACAAGTTGAGCCTGGATATTTGTCAAAGAGGAGTCAGAATAACAATATGGAGAATACTAAAAGCATCCTTAATAAATTGATTAAGATTTGTGATTATACCTTCAAACAAAAATCATCAAGATCCTCTGGGGTCCCATACTGTTCAATCTGATCATGTACCTTGCCTGGTTTTGAATAGGGAATGTATTTATGGTACTCCCATGTAGGGTTTGGAACTTCTTCTATGTAACCATTTGGAAGTTTCTTAAACAATGGAATTTTCCAACCTTCCGGAGGCATTGTTGCTCTGATAGTAGCTGCAACTGGCATCCCTACAGAACCAACCTCTGGATTGAACCCATACTTGTAAAAGTCATCCTTAAAGAAGTCTTCAGGATTCTGGATTTCATAAGGTCCATCAGTGAAATCACCCTTCCCATTTGCAAAGCCATCCCACATGGATCCTTGGATATAAATGCGTGTGCCATCAAGATATTGGCTAGGGTCCTGGGACATTGGGGACAAATTTTCTGCAGACTTCCCATTTCCAGTTACAATCTCAAAATAAGGATGCAACTTCAGGTCATTCTTTAAAGCTGTGTTAATGTCATCAGGTGGAACTTGTTCATTTCCGCCTACCCAGAGAGCAAGACTCGGATGGTTCCTTAGAAGCTTCACGGTGTCTCTGGCACAAAGCATGAACAGATCATGATCAAGAGGGCCCTTAGGATTTGATACTGGTACACCTCTTCCATCAACATCTCCTGTAATCCAAAACTCCTGCCACACCTACAAAATTTTGAACTGGTTACTTATACGATATCAACACCATCACCACTCATGCAAGCATTAAGTAATTATTACTCACACCCATGGTTCAACATCATGCAAGCCATATTTCTAGTAGGAAACATTTCCACAGAATCAACACATGCATTAGACACATTATTACCTTATTTAATGCACTCTGTTTTAATTGTAAAGCAACTACTTCCACCAACATTTGGCAACATTATTAGCTTATTGATTTGAACACATTTATCATCCAGGGATAGCAGTTTAGCATCTGAAAATTTTCTGTCTTAAGGTTCTATGCTGTCATAATCATTGTGAAAATGTTATCTATTTGATATAACAGAGATGCGTAAAGTCCCCAGGTTAATTTAGAGATTGATATCATCAATAAATATAAGTTTTCTTGCTTGAACTGGAACCATAAATATAACAGTAAGACAATACTCCAAGAAAGGCACCTATTGTTTTTAGCACTGCCAATAAAAGCTGTTCGTATTAGTTGTAAGCATTGTTAGGGCAAGAAAGTTTCTTGTCAATATTACGTTGGGCATGGGTATTAATACAAAGTATAAACCCCAAAAATGGAAAGAATTAAATGCTTTTTAAGCTGCAAGCCTTCAACCCTGAGTATGGCTGTAAAGAGTGAAGAGAATAACTTAAATGTGGCAAGCAGTGAAAGATACAATATCATACCCCACTACCAAAACCAAAACTAACCTAGATGTAACCACATACAAAATTGGGGCCCATGGTGCCCCATTCTAAAACTCCACAATTTCCGATAGCATTTAAGAAAAAATTTATTTCTAGGCCTATGCTGAAGACAGGTGTGCACATGCAGGCACACATGGGGAGACAGAAAGTAGCTTACCAGTAAACCATACATATCGCAATAATGATAAAATTCTGGCCGCTCGGCCAATCCACCACCCCAGCAACGGATCATGTTTAGATTCATATCAGCATGAAACTTTATGTCAGTTTTATAACGCTTTCTAGAAAGCCTTAATAAACAATCTGACAAAATCCAATTACCACCACGGATAAAAATTGGCTGCCCATTCACTTTGAACAATCTACCAAGAGAATAAATATGTGAGTTATAAAACATGATTTGCAGGTACAATGCATTATGTAAGTAAAATTTGATAAAAAACCTATACCTTCCCCCGGTAGCACTATCGATTTGACTCTCAATTTTGCGGAAACCAAACAGTTGGTTCCACGAATCAGACTCTCCGTATCCCTTTACATCAACTGTAACACTGACATTGTACAGAGACTGCTTTCCCATGCCATTTGGCCACCATAAATTGGGCTTGTAGAAGAAAAGCTGTAACAGTGATGTAAGAAGCAAAAATTTAGTGCTTCTTACAATGAAGAACCTTGACTGTACATGTTAAGGCTTAATAAAAATACATTATGTCAATAGTTTTTCGTAGACTTTGTTAGTGCCAAAAAGATGCAGAAAGTCATCAGTTCAGTAAAAGCACTAAGATGGGTTACTACCAATCACCTGAGGAAATGTGTATTGAATACGTGCTCCAGGTGGAATTGACACATGCTGAGTCTGAAAATGCTCTACTAAGCAAATGTTCCCCTCAAGTCCCGTTGCTACTTGGATGTTCAAGGAACACTCAGCAACCAAAGAACTTCTGTTTTCCAACTCAGTTGTAGTATGCAAATATACTCTCTTATAATTGTCAAAAAATGAAGAAACCAAGTGTGGATCAATTATCTTGACTGGCTGCATCCAAGTCAAATGTGTCCATAAGTAGAGCTCAAATTTACTATGGGTGACTATTAAAAAAAAGTATAATCAACTAATGCTCCTGGCAATCACAGAACACATGAGAAAAAATGTACATTGCAATTTATATGAACATAATTTTATGTAAGGAACAATTGGTATAATTTTCATCAAGACCAATGAATGTCTTATAAGTTTAATAAAATTGTTTCTCTTGGAGTTTCAGGCATATCAAATGCAGAGGAAAAATGACAAAAGTTGTGTACTCTTCAATAAAGATCAGATCAACAGCATCACCTTACAAGTCAAAACAAAGATTAATATAGAGAAAATGACCAAGTCTCCACAAAGTTGGGAGAGAGATAAAAAAAAGTGAAAGAGAATGATAGGAGAAATTGAAGAAGAGGGCAACCTTGACCTGTAATGTTTTCTAGCACAGTGAATAGTGAAGGCTCAAATGCCATTAGCAAATTATCACATGACAGAATTTGTGAAAAGTAGTTAAAATGTTTTGCATAGAACTTACTCCAGTAACATAAACTGATACTTCATCCCACAAACCAGTGTTCCTATCCCTGAGACAAAATGAGATACGTTTCATTAGATATCAAATTGTTGTTACTTCAACGTAGACACTGAACTACAGTTGCTAGTTGGCATTTTGACAACATTTTGAGGATTGAAATAAATTCTTGAAAAATTAATGACATTGCATAAGAAAATAAAAATGGAATGAATGTTGTTGGATTTGCAAAGCTAATGTCAGATTTGAATAAGTAAATAAATAAATAAAAACTCAATGCTAGACTAATAGTCTCAAAAGTAAAAAAGAAAAAAGATACCTTACGGGAGCTATCCAATCCCAACCCTCAACATATTGTGTTGCTACATCTTTGCCAATCTAAGAACAAAATAAATGAATAGGTGATGCAAGTAAAGTTTTTGCTTGTTTCAGTTACTAATCCTTTAAATATATCATTAACATTTTTTCTATCCAAAAATACATATGTGCTTTGTGCAAAGATAAGTACCTCATGATCCCCTCCTTGCCCACCCTCAGGAGGGATCCTTCCAGGATGATCTGGAGGGTGAACAAGAACAGCTAGTAAATTTTTACCATTGGTATTTACAACATCAGTAATATCAAGAGAATGTCTCCGAAACATCCCTTTCGGAAGCACCATTTTGTGTCCATTAATGTATACTTCAGCAGAGTAATTGATCCCACGGAAATTCAGATCTAGATGTTGAGTCCCCGACTGCAAAATTATAAGGCAATTACAGAGAGATGAACATCTAGAGATACAATAATCAGTTTAAGGGTCAGTTCAAATTAACTCAAGAAGGAGTATTCAGGTAACATACTAGCATAAATTTGAAAATGGAAAATAGTTTTAGGGGTAAACAGTTGTAAACATTTATGGAAATAAGAACCTGAACAAGTCTTTTCTTAAAGAATACAGATGATAAAACTCAATTTCAAACCATATACAACATGGAAGTTAATATTTCAGGTAAAAGAATTTGCATACCAGCTTAGACTGAAATGTTGTGAAAAACCAGAAAGTATAATACTCCCTCCCTGAATCAGCTATATCTATGATAGACTCATTCTCCAAACCATAGAAAGGATCCGGAACAACTTTGTTCTTTACCAGAGTTGCCAAAACACTGCCAATCAAACAAACACAATTATACCAATAACAAACTCTTATAGCATGTTTGGTTTGAGGGAAATGGTGGGGATGAAAATTTTTTTAATCCAATTAAACTAAGCATAAGACGATGATGCCAATATAATATATATAAACTTGATTTAAGAATTAACTTTTTTAATCCAATTAAACT